CCAAACACAACGCAAGCGTTGTTTCACGTCGGTTTTTTGTGAGGCCATGGTATCACTCTGGTCGAGCCGGCCCATTCGTGCCGAAACATGGCTCTCCCACACTTAGCATGGCTCTCCCACACTTGGCATGGCTCTCCCACACTTAATGATCTGGTCTGGTCATTATTGGTCGGTAGGTACAATCCCCATACACGTTTGCCAGTCATCCTTTAAAAACAATAAAAATTGACGATTGCATTCTTCAAAAATTGCGTTTAATAAAACCGACTTCAAAAACCAAAAACTAAAGCAAAATAGGTAAAAACTAAAAAGACAAGAACTATTATTAGTCATAAATTCTTATTGGTTACCCACTCACTGATAGTTTAGAAGTCAAAGTCAGTCAGTTTGTTAGTTTGAACTCGCTAAGCTCAGTAAATACTAGTCAAATTAAAAAAAATATATTTTTATGTTGAATAGTTCATTTACCGAGGAAGGGAGGAAGAAGGAAGGCTAAAAAGCATCACACTACGACCAATAGGAGCCGAGCAGAACGGGAGAAACAACGCAGAAGTGTACTTTTTTAAATTAAATAACATTTTAACATCTTACCATTGTGCATGTCTTTATGCTTCTTCAAGTCCGATGGTTTGGCAAATGCTTTCTCGCATTGATCACATTTATGTGGCCTGGAAAATGACATTAACAAATTAATGACAACTAAGCATTAACTATTTTTTTATATATTTGACGGGCCGACGTTTGACCACTATCTCGCCTGGTGGTAAGCGATGATACGGTCTACGATGGAGCAATTAACAATTTTATCATAGTGCATTCATAACAAGTGAACTTTTATTATATTTTTAAGTCTTCTATCATTTTTTGCTATGCCATGCATTGTCTGTATTCTGCTTCATCTATCCTAGACCTAGTATTATGGATCACACAAAGAGTTATTCTGCACAGGAACTTAACTAGCAACACATTCTACAGCAGCCGGGTGCCCAGCCAACGGACCAACAATGCCACCAAATTTGTTTAAAAACGGGTGCATTTACAAACATACAAGTTCACATACACATGACACCCAGATCCAGAACAACAATCTGTGGATCACACAAAGAGTTGCTCCATGCGGGATTCGAACCCGTGACACGGCAGCCAGTTACCCAGCCACGGCACACACCGTGCAATCTTACCAATTCTTTACCATTATCTAGAAGGTAAACATATTGTTTTTAACCCTTTGAGTACCGTCATTATAGACACAATTAACTCGTCGAGTACCGTCATTATAGAATAATAGGTTGCGGTCACCGGTGACCACTTGGTGTTTGACAGTTTAAAGAACATTAGGTTGCAGTCATCGGTGTCCTCGCGGTGTTAGACAGTTTAATAAAATGATACTGACTTGTAATCCAAATGTTTAGCAAATAGATGTTGCTGTAGTTTCCAGAGAGCCTCAAATGCCATGTTACAATGAAGGCATTTCCAATCTCTACCGAGTGGCTTGTGAGTGAGACCATGCTTCATCAACTGCTGTTTTGTTGAGAACTTCTGGTCTGGACATTTTTCTGAAATTAAAAGGGTACAATACATATAATATGATACATGAAGAGGAAGTTGTTGAATGCGGAAAGCTGAAAATGAATATGACGATGATAGAAAACTTGTCAATAGTGCAGAACTCGATATAAGTTTAATAGAGATGATTACGGGGTATGAAAATTAAAAATCTAATTAGTCCATAAGTTAGGTATTGATAAAATATTTATTTTATTTTGTCTTATAATGAAAACTTAATCAGATAAAATGAAACAAGGTTTGAGAGTGGGGGCTAAAACGTCATTTCTACGTTTAAAATGTACATAGAAGTGACATCTCGCAACATTTCAAATCAATATATCGTCGAAAGAAAATAAAAAATATGAGTCTAAAGTTTTAAAATAATCTACCCCATTTATATATATGTGTGATATAATAGTGAATGTGTGAGTGAGTGCAAATAATTATGTGAGTAGTCCGAAAAACTTAATAATTTAGGTTGGATAAAGAAATAAAACATTTCAAAATCATTTTCCAACTATTTGTGATCTGGATGGATGTATATTAAGAAAATGCTACATAAATATTTCTATTGTGTTGCATTTTGTAAGTGAAGGTATCCTTTATTAACTCGTCGAGTACCGTCTTTGTAGACACAATTATAGAACAATGGGTTGCGGTCACCAGTGACCGCTTGGTGTTTGATAGTTTAATATTATATTATTATCCAATACTTAAACAATTAACATTATTTATCACAAAACTTTTTATTCTAACTAACTATTAACAAATTTTACTATTGTAAACACTTACCACAAACCCACAGGTTATCCTTAGAATGTACTCTAAGATGTCCATAATACTTCTTGGCGTTATCAAACTGCTTCTTACATATCTCACAGTGCAGAGTAGTAGGTCCATTCAAGTCAGGTTCCTCAAGAGGTTCGTCCCCAGAGAGAAACTGGGCCAACACATCATCGGGCCCCAGCAAAGACCCATGCGAAGGTAACGCAGCATGAAGTCCATCATACGCACCCTCCGGCTTTATTCTCCCAAAAAAGTCTGAAGTCTCCGTATCCGCGAACTAAAATAAGATATACATTGTAAAACATTTGGAACATTTTTAGTAGCCGTTTTTCGTGTTTAATGTATGTAAACAATCGACACTTACTGGAAGACTAAAAAATGGTAAATTCGAATCCATATTTGATATACATGTGAGTAACTGTTTATTTACACATTATTAAGAAAAAAATAAATGAATTTATCGCAGAAATCACAATAGTTTTTTTCCGTGGGACATCTGTTTTGACAAGAAATAAGAATGACTATTGACTAATGACAAGTATGACAACACAGTCGATCTTCATTTAAAGATTGTCTGTGGTTTAAATATTTCACTAGATTTCTTAAAAGTTTTTGTTGGTCAGGAAAAAATTAATATCTTCCATGTTTAACCTAAGTATCTCGTTCTCTCATTTAAAATATAATAGATTTTAAAGATCTTCAATTTACTTCAAAACATTGTGATTTTTCCACAGACCTACTATAATATGGACCAGAAATACCTACAAAATAGGCGTGCATACCTACTAGAAACCGAGGCCTAAAAATGGCTGCCATTACTAGGGAAGTACTATAGTCAAAACCAAAAAGTATCGATATCGATAGCCGAGTCCACACAATGGTGGCACCGGGGCGTTTCTTCCGCCTGAATCCGATACAGGAATTTTAGCGCTTGTGTGCTCGTAAAAATAAATGGTTTAAAAATACCAGTATGTGTTGTAATTGTTTATTGAAGGATGATACTGCAAGGTATAATGAACAAATACGTGGCGCTTTAAGTCCAGGTTTGATATTTTCTGTCCCAATGACTTCAATCCACTTCTGACGCAGCACTTCAGTTTTAGGGAATCTGCAAATAAAAAAAACAAAAATTATTTCAGTTTTGTGCATTTAGTGGAACAAATCATAGACTGAACTAAATGACAGCACCTTCTGTATGAAGAATTGATATTATTGTTTTGATACTATCCCTATTTTTATTTCTATTTTGTAAGATTTATTTTAAAAATAGTATCTTCTGGCCCTTTATTTTGATACACTACTCAACTGGACTCCATAACATACAAACTAAAAATATGTTAGTTTCTTATCGATATGTTATTAAATAAAATACATCACTATTGTAAATCGTCAATTGTATTGTAAACAAAACAAAAAACAAATTTAGCAAATGAAGTTAGTTATCAGAAACAAATTGAATGTACATTTGGGGGCTTTTATTCTATACATAAAACAAGGCTAGATAATCAAGAAAACTAATAGTATGATAAAGTTTTTCTTAATATACGGCTACTAACCTGTACATAGTCAAATGAGGTTGATTGGGGTTTTTCCTTGCCCCACACTGAATTATTGAACAAGTAGACATATTGAATATGCATCACTAGACACTCACAGCATAAAACAATTTAGTTGGGAGCGTTTTCATTGTTAAAAATCGCAATCCAAATCCAATGTTGTTGTTCGCTTGACACCTGACGTACTACAAAACTATACGGCCTAAAGATGGCGGCTGGCACGCAAGGTAGATACCTTGTCAGAAATGTAGAAATGTTGCCAGGCAGAGAATAAACAAACAACATGACGTCTCTTTCTTCAAATGAGGTTATTCATTGATTAAAAAGAGACAAAGTGTGGTTTCATATTTCTATATCGATTTGATATAAAAATCCATCTTCCAAACTCAGCGTGTCGAGCCGGTGCTGCCGCTGCTGCTGCCGAGAACCTCAAACGGCGAAAGTATGATAGCCTGATTGGCAATTATGCTTTCGAACCGTTTGGGGTTGAAACTTTAGGGCCGTGGGGCCCAAGTGCACATCTTCTTTACAAAGATATTGTAAAGAGGATGGTTGACACTTCAGGTGATCGAAGGGCTGGCTTCTACCTTGGACAAAGGTTAAGCATTGCCATTCAACGTGGTAATGCTGCCAGTCTTTTGGGCACCCTACCTCACGATAATGATGAGGAAAATTTTTTTTTTGATGCCTTATTATAGCTTATTTATTTATTATTACCTTTTTTTAAGGTGTAAATATTTTAGTTCATAGTTATTTATATTTTAAGTTGTATATATTTTCATTTAGTTATAGTTGATATTAATTGTATATATTCTCGATTCCCATCAAAAATAAAATATTTCCTCAATTTGATATATATTTGTATAAGCAAATAAGCTATAGATCATTACGACGCATCTATATAATACTAAATCTATGGATTTTTCTGAGTCAAAAATCTCTCAGTATATGTCGTTCCTCTATTTCTCACTGATGTGACCATAGACTACAAATGTGACGGATGTTCGAATTTCAACATTTTAGTTTTGAAATGTCAAAATTATCAGTCAGCTGATCGGAAAATAGTTATTTATTTAATTTAAATTTCAAAATAAAAGGGTATGTTTGAACAGTTTAATGCGTAAATCCATGCCTTAAATACACATAAATTGAAACATACATATTTAACCGACTGTGCTGAAGGTCCAGTAGCCTTTAGCTTGAGGAATGTAATTTGAAATATTTGCACACTGCACAAACAATCTCACTTCCCTAGCCAAAAGTTTATTGTACCTTGCTCTGTAGATAGAACAAAAGAAATACTGATAACATGTAGTAAACGTTGATAAGATTTGTTACTGTTCGTGTGCAAAATGATTTAACTTTTAAGGTGTTTTAAGAACAGTATTAATTGTTGTTAGTAAGTAGGTAAGTAAGTTGTTTATCGTAATATCTTTTCTACACTTATTAGAAATAATTTATTTATTAGTATAGTTTTCAGTTCATTCTATTTTTAAACATGATTAGAGGCATTATGCAGTGTGCAAAATTACAAGTAAAGTGTACTAATTTTACACAGTTTACAGAATATGTATTTTTTTTGTAACTCTTAAAATAGAATAATTTAATTTTAATAATTTTAAATAAATAATGTTTCAATTTAAATAGTAATTTAAAAAAATTTTATGTAGGTAGTACAGAAATATAACTTGAAAAATTAAACTTATTTATTTTAATTTTTGTAGACACGAAAAATGTGTATCCTATTCATATACAATGGCAACAACGATTCAAAGAGCGACTACAGTTTGATCCTAGCCTCAAATAGGGACGAGTGTTATGACAGGCCCTCGCAAAATATGGGTCCCTGGTTTGAGGACCCTAGTGTGTTTGGAGGTGGATATTTTATAATTCAATCATTATTCAACTCACTTTCACCCAACTTCAACAAGCACATGTAGGTAACAATAAAAAATATCATAGTCATCATTATTAATTTTTTTTGTTCCTCATAATTTGCTAACCTTCATAATTCATTTTCCACCATTCCTACTAATTTTATAGCTCCAAGTAAATAACAAAACGTCGTCAATTTTAACTAAAAATCGCGGGTTACTCACGTGAATATACTGAGAAAAGCGGCGATATCGTGCAGCCTACTGACTCGCCGCGACCGCGCACACTGCTCATGAGGGAGAACCCCTCTGTGGTTCGAAACTAGTAGAGGTTTTCTCAGTATATTCACGTGAGTAACCCGCGATTTTTAGTTAATTTAGTGAGTTTCACGATAGTCGTCAATTTAGTTAAAAAAATGTAGGCGACTAAAAACGACAACAGCGCCACCATGAGATGTTTTTTTCTTTTTGTTGAACAAACGGTCAAACTTCACTGCATGATTTATTATTGTGTAGTTGAAAAATTTAATTGTTATTTATTTTTAGGTCGCGATTTAGAAGTGGAAGAGGGAGGTACCTGGCTAGCATTGTCACCTTTACGTAAAAAAATAGGTGTTCTTCTTAATTTGCCAAGTGCTAAGAAGCCAGACGCTAAGAGTAAGTAATATGATTTTAAAGTTATTTAATTAGTTTGCTACAATAAAGCAAGCGACAGTGGCCTGTCGTGGATAGTAACGGAACGATGACGCTATTTTTTAAATATTCATAATGATGATGACAAACACAATGGAAATTTGTCTTTCTTCCAGGTAGAGGCAAAATCGTCGCGGACTTTGTAAAGAATGATAAATCGGTCAAAACCTATGTTGAGCAAATAAAATCATATGCTCACAACTGCAATGAATTCGTTTTCGTAAGCATTGAATTTAAGTATGTTTTATTTTTTTTTATTTTTAGGTAATATACATAATTGCTTGAAGAAATTAATAATTTAAAAAAATATATTTCAGGAACTTACTCCCCGTAATATCTACATTCAATAACGCGAATGATGAGCTAGTCACCCATAGTGAAGCGTTCCTGGGATTCAGTAACAATCTACCACAGAAACCGCTGAAGAAGGCGGAGGCTGGTAGGAATAAGCTGCAGCAAATTGTCGGGACTTTCAACAAAGTTTCTACGCAGGACGAACTCATTGATAGACTGATTGACCTTCTGAAGTGGGAAGAAAGGTAACTACCTACCTACATAAAGCAATTGTTATAGAAAAGAGGTAAAACGAACCAACGGATCCCATGATGGCATGGAAGTAATAAATACTACTTGTACATAGTACCTACTTATTCCTTGCATGCCTGATCATAAGCGATTGACTTCTGAACCGTCACAGTTGGATATAAGTCACTGCCGCCCGACTAGTAAACGTCATTTTTATGTGGATAACACAGAGGCAGATTAAACATAGAGTGCTAAATTATCTAACTCAAAATAGCGGACTACGGGGTTAGTCACATGAATATACTGAGAAAAGCTCTACTAGTTTCGAAACACAGAGGGGCTCTTCCTCATGGGCAGCGTGTGCGGTCGCGGCTATAGTGTAGTAGCCAGTGGCCTGCGCGACATCGACACCGCGCAGAAACTAGTAGAACAGTACAGCTTTTCTCAGTATATTCACGTGAGTAACCCGCGATTTTTAGTTGATTTTGTATGTCTCACGATAGTTATTATAAAAACACAGAGAGCGCTCTGCACCTCATAGGCGCCCCTTATTTTTTTGGCCGCACCTCGAAGTCTATGAGCAGGTGGGCACGCAGGACTTGAGGCGCCCCTCTGCACTGAGTGCCCTAACAATTTGCCTAGTTTACCTTAGGGATAATAATTAATATGGCTCTGAGATACCTACATTATATTTGTCGTCTATAGCCAATCGTCGCAAAGACAAGGGTTTTTTTAAGGGGGGAAAGTCATCGAATGACTGCTCCTGCCTGGGTGAGGCGGGAGGGAGTGTCAGACTCTTACTAACTAAAACCCATCCCGTTCCTTCTCCTGCACGTCGAGCCGGAACCCCGGTAACCCGCTAGGTTCTCCGCGACTCCGAATCGGCATCGACCCTATTAGGCCCCATCTGTGGTGGTCTGATGGCTCTTTAAGGCGCGCGCGGCACGCCACGCGCCGTACGCTCGGGTCTGGTCCTCGCAGTGATGACACCCGGGTGTTTCCTCCCGCCCCATCAGACACAGGTACCTCCCGAAACTACCATGTCCGGTGAGAACCTGCGTCAGGCGGTAGGTGAGGACGCCGTGGCGTCTCTCGAGCTACTCCTCAAAGAGGGGACTTACCGCTGCAATGGCAGCGAGCCCAAATGAAAAGGGTAACTAGTTGAGTCACAAATGCGATGCTGATTTAAAAAAAAATATTAATCGTTTTAAAGCAGAAGACGTGTAACTAATTTATTCGTAAAATTTTCAGCCACCTTCCCGACCACCAGTTGGAAACTAAGCGACCGAATTTGTACAAGGAACTCAGCTCGGTATATGTTTGCATACCGCAAGGACGATATGGAACTAGGTATTGTCAATATACAATTTCATAATGTCATAACATCAAACTTTATATTTGGATTTTTTTAAATGTGACGGCTAGACTAGAATCTCGGACAAAACAAAATAGTTCCGTGCAGAACGTAAAATCAATTTTAAACTCAACAATAGTTATTCTAGAGTACATATTCGTGTGCGTTACCCAGGCCAGATGTTGTTGAAAATGGTCATTTGAATCTTGTATATAATTAGTTGTGCGGCTTCTGTAATTGTTGCACACATTTTTTAAATTTGTTGCGCTTATAGTTTATTAATTATTTCACAAAAACATTTCCTGCTGGGGTGACGTTACCCCAGCTAGACCGTTTTCTTTCTAATGGGAATATTTAAATAATAACTATAAAATTTGTTGCCTAAATGAAGTAAATGTGGTGCCTTATTTTGTATTCGTTCTTTCATCGGTTGCGAAGTTATTCGAGATTATGCTGGGGTAACGTTTTTGGTTTTGCTAGATCTTTGAAATGGTTAAGCGGATTCTTATCATATCTTGAACATAGCTTCTTAGGAATCAGTTTAAATTTGATCAGCAATAAAAAACCGAAATAATACATACAGCTTTTTCACTTTTTCTTTTCTTAACCACCTAAACTATACAATTTCACTGATATACAACTGAACTAAAAAACTAATAATTGACATACCATTCAATTCATATATCCAATCCAGTGGCCAAATAACATTGCGCGCAACCCGTTGAAATCCATCCCCTAAATTTGGTCATACAAAAGTAGTCTCTAAACATTAAAAATGAGGTCTATAATGTAATGTAATATTAGTGGAAAGCGGTCACCGGTGACCGCTTGGGGATTTAAGACCGTGCTCGTGAAGAACTCAATGTCATCATAACTTGTTAAATACTTACAGGATACTAATGAAACTTCACATACATACATTTGAAGGCAGTTACAAGCTTTAAAATAACGTTTAAAGTAGGTAAGGCTTTAGAGCTCTTATTGAGTGTTGGGACCAATTGAAGTGTTTTTCTATTTAATGAAGTAACCTTTAAGCTATGTATTATTTCGGCTTTTTATTGCAGAACAATTCCTAAGAAGCCATGTACGAAATATGATAGAATCCGCTTATCCATTTCAAAGATCTAGCAAAACCAAAAACGTTAACTCAGCAAAATTTCGAATAACTTCGCAACCGATGAAAGAACAAATACAAAATAAGGCACAACATTTACTTCATCTAGACAACTAATTTTATGGCTAGTAGTATAGCGTTTAAATATTCCCATTAGAAAGAAAAGGGGCTGGCTGGGGAAAAAACTATAAGCGCAACAAATTTAAAACTGTGCGCAACAATTACAGAAGCCTCAAAACTAATTATCTATAAGATCCAAATGACCATTTTCGACAACATCTGGCTTGGGTAACGCATACTACATATTCCTACCATACCCTCTAATTTTTTTCAGAACTCACACAATAGTGCTTGTCACAAAATCCGGACACATGAATGTAATTGAGATGACCCTCGTCGCGCCCATTGACCCAGACAACCCAAAATGGACCAAAACTCAATACCAATTTGATATGGAATGGAAATAAAAAGTATTTATGTTGACTGAATAATGTTGTTTTTATTCATTATTATTTTACATAGGGTAAAACAATTTTCTAAGTTTAGTCTATAAAGAAATACACATAATAAAATGCAATGCTTCTGTATTTTAGAAGATATCCTGGCATGTAGGCATTGTCGGCTCAACCAAATAAGCGCTGGAGTGCTAAACTATCATAATTTATTTTAAAATAGATGTATTAAACAATAAAAGAATAAATATTTTATGTATCATAAACATAATAAATGTTTTTACACACACTATTGTTTAAATCACTTCATTTTTTATTAGTTTTTAGGAATTTTGCATTCCAGCACCTATTCATGCTATGGACGAGCCTATTTTTTGTGACATCCCAGAATATCTAATAAATAATTAAATACATTTATCCTCCCAGTAACATTTTACTCTTCTGTGCGAAGATATCTCTCAATTTTAACAAAGTTAGGTACATTAAAAGACGCGTCCTGCTCTAAGGCACAGGCCAAAAGCTTGGGTACATTCAACACGGTACCAGAAATTAGACAGGGAAACTTGTTTTCATTATTTTCTTTATACATAAACATTAACCTCTTGCTAATAAAGTCCCCACTCAAAGATACATTGCCTACTTCAACATAATCTTTCAACGATGTAGAATACATTTCTATAGAAACCCTCAGGGACTCCCACATAGCTAATTTATCAGCAGACACCAAACTCAAACGGAAATGATAACCGAGTTTGCTGTACGCAAGCTTCAAAATATCTATTAGCTCGTCAAAAAAATTATCTTGGTCTTGCTCTGTTTTTGTGGCTCCAAACATCTCAACAACAGATGATTGGCTAACATTGAACAGGCTGTCTTCATTAGACGTGGCTGGTACGTACTGCCTGCCCATTGTAAAGTACCTTAGTGGGAAAACTTTGGCGTACATAACATTCTTTGCATGGTATGCAAGGAAGGAGGCTAGAGACCCACCTCCAGTAAGATGCAAGCGACTGTCTACATTCACCTTAGTGTCCTCATTATGATGTAAAATAAAACTTAAATCTGGGTTAGTGTGATCTTTGCCACATCCCTCGATAACCAAACTTTTCACAAAATCTGGATTTGAAAATTGTACAAAGTTACTATCTTTCAATATCTTGCTGAAGTAGAATTTTGCTCCAAGTTCAAAGATAGCACCAGAACCGAGTAGGTAATAATTTTCATTCTTTTTAAAATCAATCATATTCAACTCCTTCCCAACTTCTAGGTGGTGTTTACAATTTTGTGGTTTTGAGAGGTGTGTGTATATTACTTTATTGTTTCCGTCTGGTGTCCGTGAATGTAAATTGTTTGGCATTTTGAGGAATTCCACAATAGCAGCTTCTTCGGCTGACCAGAGACGACCTTTTAGTTTCTTTATATTTTCTTTGATGAAATCACTTTGCATTTTAAGTTTTTTAGTTTCTTCACTGTCAGGTTCTTTCTTTATTAGCTTGCCTAGTTGTCTTGATATTTCTTCTTTCTTCTTGATGTAGTCTGCTTTTTTTGTATTGAGATCCTGATAAACTTTCCAAAGGTTCTCCATTTTAACCAGGTCAATATCAGCCTTCCTTCTCTGGAGAACTTTTATGAAAGCATCTTTCTGTTGAATTTTTTCAGGAAAGTCAATATGTGGAGTTATGAAGACATAATTTTCAGTAGCTTTAGCACCACTCACAAATAAAGCAGAGTGCCTTGTTTGTAAGATCTTACAGTCCCAAGCCTTTCTCAATACACTGGTGAGTGTTTTACGCATCATTTTCGTTTGGTTTGGTCTTTTTACTGGGCGTCGCGTCGTCTATTATTGCATCACCGTCTTCGTCTGATTTCGCAACGTTTTGACCGACTATTTTCCTTTTACTTGGCTGTTTGAAGTTACCGTGTCCCGCTGCGCGCTCAGACTCTTCAATAGTATAAGGTTCTAGTTCTAAAGCTTTCAGCCTTCGCTTGTGGACTTTAGTTTTGAAATGATCGTTCAACGACTGCTCGTTGATGAAATACCTCGCACAGTGTAAACAATAATGTTGCGCTGCACCCGGCAGGTCTAAATCCACGTTCTGATTTAATAACTTTTCAGCGTTTTCTGTAAAACAAAATATTGACATTAGAACAAACCTCACGAGAATTCCTCTAAGTATTTATTGTGCAATTTGTTATCAAAATGTTTTTTATAAACTACCTTGCTGTTGTAAAGCTTATTTATTCAATATCCAGTCCAGTTAATAAATACTATATTATTAATAAATTACATATAAAAACTTTTATACACAGACTCTACTGTCCAAAATAATAACCTCAAAATCTGACACAAAACCATGTGACAGCTTCAAATTCGTAAACAAACTTTACCTTCTTTGATATCTTCATCTATTTGATCAAGATCCTTCTTTCTATTCCTTACTCTCCACCTTTTCTTCAGGTGGGTGTCACCGTGGTGATACTTTTTTCGTTTATATGTCATATTAATCGCAAAATATCGATTACCAGCCTAACACAAAATGAGTTTGTGTGAAAAATACATGCCGTCTATGCACGTGAATATATCAATGTGTGCTTCTGTCAATTTCATCTTCGCAGTGTCGTTGTCAACGTGACAAATAATTTTACGTTTAGAAATCAATGACAAGGTTGAACTTGCCATCAAGGAATAAGAAACAAAAATCATGCAAAAATCATAATGTTGCATTGTAATTCCTGAGGCACTGCAGCACATATTGTGGTTTACCTCCTTAGTAGTGTCTGACTTCTGAGACGGTAAACCACAATAGAAAGTTTAGTGATTCCTTGTAATATCATTTTTAGGTAGTACCTACAGATTTGTGATCGTTCCCTATCTACCCTACAGAATATTCCTCTTGATCATCTCTCCGAAATAGCAAAATGGCTTGAATTTGCCTTTAGCTGGGTACTTACTTAGCAGTGTAGCGCGTAACGTATCAGATACGGTAGGAATCAAGCGAGTACGTAGGCACGAGTTCGCTAAGAGTTGCTCGCGCGTGGAGAGTCGTTGCGAGCACTGCAGATCCGGCAGCTCGGAGCTAGATACGCAGAGGACCGTGGACGAGCCGTACCCACTTGCAGGTTGATACCGTATATGTTACGTGCTACAATGCTAAGTGAGTACCGAGCTTTTGATTTGCAATCAAACAAACTACGATGTTTTTGTTAGTACTTAATTATGTATATGTCGGCGCCGCCGTCATTATTTTGTAAACTGCGAATGTAATGGGCGAGCAGTGAACAAACAACTGACCGACGTCACTTCAACCCCACCACCGAGTGATATATAAAGCAGCGCAAGCGCAAGCTCGAGTCAGTCGTTCGTCGATCGTTGCCCAGTTCACACGTTACGCAATCGCTGAGTAATTTTATTGTTGGTTTTATTTGAGTGTTTCCTTTATATAATCAGTGCTGAATTATTCAATTATTATAATTAAAAATTAATGTGAAAGTAAGTTCATTTAATCGAAATAAACTAAGTGATTGTGTGAAGC